ATGCCTGCACCCATGTCAGAGTGCCTGGGTTTAAGTCCTGATTCTGCTTTCTTTTTTTTTCTTTTTTGACAGGCAGAGTTAGACAGTGAGAGAGAGAGAGACAGAGAAAAAGGTCTTCCTTCTGCTGGTTCACTCCCCAAATGGTCGCTACGGCCGGTGTGCTGCCCTGATCTGAAGCCAGGAGCCACGTGCTTCTCCTGGTCTCCCATGCGGGTGCAGGGCCCAAGCACCCGGGCCATCCTCCACAGCTTTCCCAGGCCACAGCAGAGAGCTGGACTGGAAGAGGAGCAACCAGGACAGAACCCGGCACTCCAACCGGGACTAGAACCTAGGGTGCTGGTGTCACAGGTGGAGGATTAGCCTAGTGAGCCGTGGCGCCGGCCTAACTCTGCTTTCAATCCAGCTTCCTGCTAATGTGCACCCCGAGAGGCAGAAGATGATGGCCCAAGTGCTTGGATCCCTGCCATCCCATGTGGGGAGGTTTGGATACAATCCTGACTCCTGGTTCCAGACTGGCCCAGCCCCAGCAGTTGCAGGCATTTGGGAAATCTCTCTCTCTAAACACAAAACAACAGCTTCCAATCAGAAAAACAGATGACGAGCAGGCAGCAATCTGGCTCACACTGGGCAGGGTTCCGCCTCGCACAGTGTGACTGCTGGGACGTGGGTAGCAGGCCTAGAGGTAGCAAGTCCATGCTAGGTTAACATAAGCAGATGAATATGAAAACACCTGCCATTCATGCAAAGGCGCTTTGTATAGCTGGCTGCATTCACGGGCTCCATAAAGTCAGGATGTGAAACAAATCCTCTTTACCCATTTCTCAGGGTCCTGTTGTAGGGAACATGCCTTTAATGAGAGCCAGCCTGCAGAGCAGTGGGTCTCAGCTATACTGCAGTTTGGTGCTGCAAGGCAGAAAAGTTACCATGTATTTTTCTAGGCAAGCAAAATGTAGATATTTAATATCAAGTATCTCTCCAGGGAAAGAACTTTCTGTAGCTCAGAGAAATAATGCAAGTTTGGTTTAATTTTTTGGTTTGAATCCTTTAAAAATAGAACATTCGGGCTTTTGTTTGTGAGTAGTGTCAAAATAATGGGAATATAGGCAATTATTTCAGCCTTATTTGGCAATAATTTAGAGATGAAGGAACCAAGAATCAGAGGTTGAGTAACTTGCTTAAGGGCGCACAAATGATAGGGCTAGAATTCAGACCCAACTAGGTTGGCTTTTATTTATTTATTTTACTTTTTTGAAAGGCAGAAGTTATAGGTAAAGACAAAGTGAGATCTTCTATCCTCTGGTTCACTCTTCAAATGGCTGCAACAGCCTACGCTGGGCCAGACTGAAGCCAGGAGCCAGAAGCTTCTTCCAGGTCTCCCGTGTGGGTGCAGGGGCCCAAGTACTTGGGCCATCTTCCACTGCTTTCCCAGGCACATTAGCAGGGAGCTGGATCCTAAGTGGTGCAGCTGGGACTCGAACAAGCATCCATATGGGATGCTGGTGTTGCAAACGGTGGCTTTACCTGCTATGCCAGAACACTGGCCCCATAGTGTGACTTTTAAATTGTAAGGTTTGGGGGTTGGTGTTGTGGCTTAGTGACAAGCTGCTGCCTGCAATGCTAGCATCCCAGGGGCACTGGTTCATGTCCCGGATGCTCCACTGCCAAATCAGCTCCCTGCTAATGTGCCTGGGAAAGTAGTGGAGGATGGCCCAAGTGCTTGGGCCCCTGCACTCACATGGGAGACCTGGAACAAGCTCTTGGCTTCCGCCTGGCCCAGCCCCAGCCATTGCAGCCATTTGGTTAGTGAACTAGCCCATGGAACATCTCTGTCTCTCTCTCCCTTTCTCTCTATGTAACTATGCCTTTCAAATAAATAAATATTTAAAAAAATAACAGCTCCTAAAAAATAAAAAAGAAATTAAGGTTTAGGGCCAGTGTTGTGGCTCAGCAGGTTGAGCCACTGCTCACAAGGCCAGTATCCCACGAGTGCCAGTTCAATTCCTGCCTGTTCCACTTCTGTTCCAGCTCCCCACTGATATGCCTAGGAAAGCAGTATCAGATGGCCAAAGTACTGGAGTCCCAGCCACCTACGAGGGAAACTCAAATGGAGTTCCAGACTCCTGGATTTGAGGACCAGCCCGAGCCACTGGAGCAATTTGGGAAGGGGACAAGTGGGCAAAGATTATGTCTCTCCCTCTTTGTCAATTTGCCTTTCAAATACATAAATCTTTTAAAAAATTGTTTTAAAAGTTTACTTTTATTTGAAAGAAGAGTAACAGAGAGGGAGAGATAGAATCTTCCTTACACTGGTTTACTAACATATCAGCAACAGCCTGGGCTGAGCCAGGTCAAAGCCAGGAGCCAGGGACTCCATCTGGGTCTCCCATGTGGGCGGTAAGGACCCGAATACTTGAGCCATCATCTACTGCCTTTCAGGATGTGCTTAGCAGGAAGATGGATCCAAAGTGGAAGCAGGACTGGAACACAAGCACTCTGATATGCGATGCGGTGTCTCAACCCACTGTCCCACCACATCCACTATATGTTTTCAGTCTGCCTTGTAGAGCTCACTTTCTTAAAAGACGTGGCACACTTGACAAGGAAGCAGCGGTCTGAAAAGGGGGATCGTGACTCACTGTGTGTCCAGGAGCTGTGGGAGGAAACAGGCAGTCTGCGAGGCCAGTCTCGGCGGATGGTCTTCAGGCTCTCAGTCGAGAGGTTTTTTCTTGAAGGATCCTTCCCTTGGGGCAGGTGTCTGGCCTGGTGGCTAAGCTGCCAGCCCGGCCAGCCGCATCCCACACTGGAGTACCTAGGCTCAATTCTCAGCTGTAGCTTCTGACTCCAGCTTTCCACCAATGCCAAACCCTGGAAGGCAGTGGTGATGGCTCAAATAATTGGGTTCCTGCCACCGCATGGGAGATAGGATTGAGTTCCCAGCTTCCGGCTTCAGCAACCCCATGTTGTGGACATTTGGGGAGTGAACCGGTGGATGGGCACTCTCTATTTGTCTCTCTGCCTCTCATGTAAATAAAAATATTTTTTAAAAAAATTATAATAACTTAAAAAGACAGGATATATACAATTTATATATACACATGTAATCATATAAAAACACAAATGGGAAACCGTAAGTTATTTCAACAACACTATAACAATTGTTTCCTTTTGTTATCTATTTTTCCAGAGTTTTATGACATGGCTATAATAAATATTTTTAAAGTATTATTTCTAGGCTTAATTTTACTTCTTTGACTCTACAGTACTTGAATCAGTAAATCATGGGGAGAAAGAGGAAAACAAAGATCACGGACTTGGGGCCTGTGCTACAGCGTAGTGAGCTAAGATTCCACCTGCGGCGCTGGCATCCCATATGGGTGCCGGTTCAAGTCCTGGCTGCTCCTCTTCTGATCCAGCTCTCTGCTATGGCCTGGGAAAGCAGTAGATGGCCCAGGTACTAGAGCACCTGCACCTGTGTGGGAGACCCAGCAGAAGCACCTGGCTTTGGATTAGCTCAGCTCCGGGCGTTTGTGGCCACTTGGGGAGTGAACCAGTGGACAGAAGACCTTTTTCTCTATCCCCCCCCACAACTCTCTCAAATAAATAAATAATATCTAAAAAAAATGATCAGGAACTCAAGCATCAGATCATTCACAGTATTTTCAAAAAGGAACAAAGCCCTAACATCTCTAAAAAGCTGGCAAGTCAACAGTTTCCGATTCTCTACACATGGGCTAGGGATAGGTGTGTGGCATAGTGGTTAATTCACCACTTGGGGTGCCTGCATCCTATATCAGAGTGCATGGGTTCAAGTAACCGCTCCACTTCTGATCCAGCTTCCTGCTAATGCAGACCTGGGATGCAGGAGGTGATGGCTGCACTACTTGGGTCCTCTGCCATCCACATAGGAGTTCTGGGTTCCTAGCTTTGGCCTGGCTCAATGCCAGCTGTTGCAGGCATTTGGGGAGTGAACCAGCAGATGGATAATCTCTCTTGGTTTGTGTGTGTGTGTGTGTGTTTTTTTCTCCGTTGCTTTTTCAAATGAATAAAAATAAATAAAAGTTCAAAAAGAAAATATATGAGGTATAAAGAACTTCAAAAGAATGGCTCTCTAGGTAGGCAGTAAAAAGGGAAGGACAGCAAATCACTAAATGCAGTCTCACATCCTGCTAGAGGGCTCCTAGTTTCCAGCGACCCTCATGCTCTGTCATTCTATCAGAGGTAGCCAAGATACCACGGGCTGACCTTCAGTCACCACCAAACACCCAAGCTGGTTTTGTTTCTGTTTAAAAAGGTGAGGTGGATGAAGAGAGGTAATTTTCAATTAAAAAAAAAAAAAAAAAGGCAAAAATCCCTCAACAATCCTCATAGAATCATTGTTGTGCGTTCATGACATGGGGACACAGATCTGGAAGCCTCTTCAGAGTGCCAGCTGAAGGGAGCACCCAAACACCAAACCAGGGAAGCAGGGACCCACCCCTGGAATAAGGAGGGAACCCAAGAGCCGGGGGTTTCACAGAGCCCTTCTGCTGTGGCCAAGATCTCAGGCCCAGCTTCCTGGGCTGACGTTTACTTGAAGTCTATCATCTGATACAGTCACTTTCTGGGTTGTAATCCATGAGCTGCCAGTGTTTACTTGTGAGACTGTCTGGGAGCTAGCAGGGAAGGAAGGCAAATACACCAAAGCCCAGCTGAGCAACTGATAGGTTTTACACTTTATTTCCAGGAAATGACATCTTGTTTTTACAAAGAAGAGTTAAGATATCCTTTCGAAACAGAGGTTACCTTCGGGGTGGCCATGAATGCACCCAACTTGTCCAAAACAAATGTCAACAGAGGTGCTTCTAGGGTATCAAAACAGTAACAATAACAACAAATTTCAAAAAACAAAGCAGAACTCCAGTAATCCATTCAACACGTAACGAAGCCAAGTCTATTAAGTACCCTGAAGCAGCCGGTGCCAAGGCCCACTGGGGCTGCAGACCATGATGGCAGCAGGGCTGGCCAGCATGGAAGGTGAGTGACCGAGGGCTTCCATCTCAGTCTGTCCCAGGTGGCCTCTTGGATGATCCCTGGTGCAGCCTGCGTCACGTCCAGAGAAAAGCCTCCAGCCCAGGCCAAGCTCCCACTGCCTGGCAGTCTTTCGAACACCCTTAGGGCAGTCTTCAGGAGAGCCTCTTTGCTTTGGAGAGAGAGAAAAGAGAAATAAAGGAGGAACCTACGTTTCTCTTCCCTGTGCTCCCTACCTACCTTGCCACACAGCAGGCAGGGTGAACCCGAGAACGTTCGTCAGATCACGTCACTCTGCTCCAAGCCCACCCACTTTGTCAGAGTCAAAGCCACACCATCTGCCCCCTGCCCAACCTTCCTCGCCTCATCTCCTGTCCTCCCTGGTTGCTCTCTCCCTCTGGCCAAGGTGGCCTTCTGTTCCTGCTCTTCCCTATTTTCCTCTTTCCTGCAAAGCTGTTCTCAGAGACGCCTCCTCAGAGACGCCTCCCTCGACTGCTCCATCCAGAGTTGCCAAGTTTTCCCATCACTCCCTTGCCCTTTTCCTGCTTTACTTTCCCCCACAGCACTACTCACGTTCAACTCACTAGAGCTTCCCTTCTCTATATTTCCAGCATCTAGGATAGTGCCTGGCACAAGTCGGGCCCTCAACAACTCTGCCGAAGGAGACCATGAATCACAAACCCAGGAACACTCCAGACAAGTTCTTCCTCTGTCCTGAGAGGGCGGGGCTAAGAGCCTCCAGGTTTTTCTGGTATTTTCTGCTGCCTTGGCCTTGGAAAAGCAAGGACCCTGGCCTACATGGGGATACAATATGGACACAATAAAGCCATCAAACTCCCTAACAATGACATCTGGAGTGCTCTGGAGGGGGGCTGAGGAAATTATAAAAGTTATTTGTCTGGGCTGGTGCTGTTGTATAGCAGGTAAAGCCACTGCCTGCAATGCCACATCCCATATGGGCGTGGGTTGGATTCTCAGCTGCTCCATTTCCGATCCAGCTCTCTGCTGTGGCCTGTGAAAGCAGCAGAAGATGGCCCAAGTGCTTGGGTTCCTGTACCAGTGTGAAAGACACAGAAGAAGCTCCTGGCTTCAGATCGGCCCAGCTCCGGCCGTCGTGGCCACTTAGGGAGTGAAGCAGTGCCTGAAAGGCCTCTCTCTCTCTCTCTCTCTGCCTCTCTGTAACTCTGCCTTTCAAATAAATAAATAAATCTTAAAAAAAAAAAAAAAGGCTATTTGTCCCCTACTTCTGGGAAGCCTTTGACGTCAGGCCTTGGGTTGGGCGTGCCTTCAGCCGTGAAGAGATGGGATGACGCAGGACCCCCTTTGCTAACAGCCTCATCTATTTGCTTGCTGAAAAACATGGAAGCCACAGAAATACTCTCTTGACTCCTCTACGGCAAACTTTCTTGTCTGCCCACTGTCTCACCTCTTCTCTGGTCACAGAGGACAAATCCTCCTGGTGTTAACTCCAGGGCCCCGCTCTGCTCTCCCTCTCCCTCCCAAAGCACCGTGCCTGACTCACTCTCCCTGCTTTCCAGCCTCCCCTGCTCCGCAGGCTCCTTCTGGTCAGCACCTGAAGATGCTCAAGGCTCTCCTGTCTTACACTGAGGGCTCCTCAACTCTTTCTCCTCCAATGACAGCCTCCTTTTGGTGCTGGTCCCACCCTCGTAGTCACAGCAAGTTCTTGAAGAAGGTGTCTGTTCTTGCTCTGCTCTCTCACCTCACACCCAATCCCCAATTCACTCCAAACTGACTGCTGACCCCACCCGTCCCCAGAACTTGTACTAAAGTCGCCTCTTACACACTTGCCACGGGCAGTTTTTCATCTTTATTTTATTTAACTCTCAACAGCACTTCAACTGCTGACTTCCCATTTCATAACCACTCACAAACATCCCTTTACTGAAGACATATTATGTGCCAAACCCTTTTCTGGTTCCTGAGAAGACAGCACCGAGTAAGTTTCAATCCCTGAATCCTGCCTCTAACGTGCACCCCGCCCCTCAGTGCCTCAGGGCGCCTCCCCGAGGCCCGTGCCTAGTGTCCTTTCTCAGCCGTCCCTCGCTGTAAGGAGCACAAGCTCTGTGCCCACACGGAAAGCTCCCGAGGGCAGGGGCTGCACACGCCCTGCTCGCTTTTACGCCCAGCACCTGGCACTTAGTAGGTGCTGACAAGGAAAGGCTCAGAAGCAAGCAAGCACAGGAGAGCTGTTTTTTGTGGCCGGATCTGGCTGTGGTTTGAAGGGAAAAGGGTGGAAGAAGTCCCAACTCTCCAGGGTAGGAAAAGCAGAAAAGCCTTGGGTTGAAAGTCACTTCTCTAAAGGATTGCCAAGATTCTATTTCTAAATTATTGGCTTTTTTCTTTTCTGAGCTCAACCCAAAGACACTGCTAAGGAAAGCAAAAAGTGAGAGCGTTAGCACTCTTGTCAACCAACTGACATCTAATGAGAAGGGAAGAAATGGGGTGGGGGAGCAGCTGACAGAAGACTGCTCCCTCCCTCACCAGCTCCCCTTTGGGGAATTCCAAAAACCTCTTTCCTCCAGAAAAATCCCATGTCAAAATTCCAGAGAGCCACATGAGACTAACTGCACGTGTACTGACACCTAGCCCCACAGCATCCTCCCACGGCTCGGGACCTGGCATCCTAACTTCCTCCTCGCCTCTCCTCGGCCTTACAGACTTCACAAGAGATCAGGGGCTGATCAGTTAAGCACTGCTCCTCAAGACAAGCACCAGCTGGGGAGTCCCAGGAGCAGGGCTGCTCTTGATGAACTCAGAGCACAAGGCCCATCTGCGGGGGAGCCACGCGCTGCCACAGGCAGGCAGGCCGCCCTCTGAACTCATTAAGAGCAGGCCCCGCCAGGCCCTGCCAGAGTGTCAGAACTCTGATGATTATAGGCTTGTCAATCCTACTTCCCAGATCCTAAATTTGGCCCCTTTTTAAAAAACTTCCCATGCACTGGGGATTAAATCAGCTTTCAACTGTCCTGGAACTCATAAGGAAGGTTGGTGTTGGAGCTGAGAATTTTCCCCAAACGCCACACTGCAGCACAGCGAAGCTGCTGATGGCTCTGGCACGTCCCTCCCTAAATCAGGTCTCAGAACCTCTGTCTGCCTCTAGAGAAAACCTCAAAGCTGCTCTCACTGCGATAACTGCAGAAACCAAGATGGGTGCCAGAACTGCTCTCAGTCAATGTGCGCAATAGGCAGGCAGATTTGGTTTATCCTGTGGCCCCCTAGTGTTCCAGAAAGGCTGGGAGGCGCCATCTGCTGCCTGTGGGGGAGGCGGCTCTGATATTAGTTACTCTGTAGAATTAACTCCCTGTAAGGGGAGTCAGAGGTGAACTTAGGACATGGCCCCTCTTTGCCTTGGCATGTTCCACTGAAGCCATCTATGAAGCTTGTGGGCCAGCAGAGGGAACACACTGATGTCCCCCTGCCCACACAGACCCAGCACAACACGTTTCACAGGCCATAATTTGATCTTGGTCACATCTAGATTCCAGGTCACTGCTGCTCTAGAAAGGGCAGAGGAAAGAACAAAGTGTTCACAAGGTCTCAGGTACTCGCTAAGCCTGGGCTGTCGTCCCGATGCAAGGCTGGCACCATGTACACATGACGTTGTACACGGCCGCCAGGGGAAGGGCAGGGCCGGGCCGCTCCTGTCTGTGCTTTGCTCGTGCTGCTGCTTGAGCTAGGGAACCTTCAAGGCGCAGTTCAAACGTCACATCCTCTGTGAAGCTCTCTCCCCTACCTCCTGCCCAGGGCAAACTGAGTGAGCCCTCTTCTGCCGCTTCACAGCACCCTGTCCTGGAACCACCAAACTGCTTTCCTTTCTGTCTCTTGTATCAGACGGCGAATGTCGTGAAGGTTGGGGCAATGTCTTATTTATCTCCTTAGCCTGATGTCTGGTGTAGTGTCCCTACAGATGCATATGGAGAGATGGGAAGTGAAAAGGAAAGACAATGGGAACCTGTTAGAATCAAGTGGCTTTTGGAGGTAAAAATCTGTGGGGCTCAAAACCGGGCACAAAATCTTATTGGACACAGGTGTCAGAAAAGTGAGAAACACTTTGGTTCCAAAGAACCAACTGAAGGCCACCCAGCCTCCCCTCAACCTCGGGTCAGAATGTCTTTCTTGGCAATAAGAGGCTCAGGCACACTTCTGTTCAGCATCTATACTACCTGGCTGTGTGACAAGCCTGCTGCTTCTGTTCTGCCTGACTGACCAAGGGCCAGTTTTATACCACAGCTCCCTACAAATCAGCATCAGATTCCTGGCCTCACTCAAAGTGCTGACATCTGTCAGTAAGGGTTAGAAGGAAGGAGGTAGACACAAGATCCTGTTCTGAGAAGCATGTGGCCTTAAATCTCTCAGCTTCTCTGCATTTAGAGAAAGGTACAAGCCAAGACAAGTGCACATGGGTTTCCACAGGCCAGGCGGTGGGAAGCCTTCCGCTTCTTCTCCTCTGATGGGCCCGTTACATGCAGCCAGTGCACACCATAGCACTTTGGCTCTGAAGCTTTCCTGCACAGCAGTGCTTTACCGGACTATTAAAGGGACTGAACATGATAACTGCATCCACTCTGCTTCTACGCACTCCCATCCCTGCCCATTAATCAGTCCTTTCTACCCATTAGCTTCCAGGTGCTGTGCCCCAGGACACGTTCTTTTGTCACAAAGATTTCAAGTCTCAAGCAGAGAGGCTCTTCATAGCCTTTAAGTCAGCAAGCCCCACGTGTGCTGAGATCTCTTAAATGAACAGATACTCACTACAGAAACATAACTCATTAGGGAAACTCACCTGTTCCTCCCCCATCTCTTATCTACATTCTGACTGGGAGACTTGTCAGCAAATCCCTCAGGACCCTCAAGCACAGCATAGAAAGATGATGTTGATATCTCTTTAGCTTAACATTATGCCCAATTTGCCTAACTAGGCTTTGACTCTTAGAGATAAAACCTGTATATGTGTTTTCTTTGGGCATTCCTCAGGTTGAGATTCTGACTTGTAACATGCTATTTAGAATTCATAATCCATTGTCTGCCTGACTCAAGGATAGCAGTTAAACTGGCTAGAGCAACAGCACCCTCTGCTGATCAGGACAGTAAACCATCTCTGGTGAGTTTGGTAATCATATTTTTTAATCGCCCACAACCCAGGCATACACACTTAAGCTCCCTTTCCAGCTGTTTAAATAACAGTTAATTCCACCTCAACTCTTTCTCACACATTGATGACCTTTAGCTCCTTTAGTCTTTCTCATTTCTTCTACCTCTTCCTTAATTTAAGAACTGTTTGTCTGACTCCCTCTCTTCCCCAACCAAAAATCTTTGAAAGTCAGTCAGTGCTACTCACCTTTCCGTTCCCTGATGAGGGCAATTCGTCGCTCTTTCACTTCTGAGCTCAGATTATCTACCATCTTATTAATGCAGTTGTCCAGGACCAGGGAGTAGGTTTTGGACTCAATGTCCTTGCGACAAATGGGGCATTCTATCTTCCTCTTCATCCATTCTTTGATACAGTAGGAGCAGAAACTATGGGCACAGTTCAAGGTGACAGCCTACAGTGGGAACAGGAACACACATCACAACTTTCACACTTACTTTCTTGGCAGTTAATTCTCAAAGCTAGGACAGGAGCTATTTTCCAAGGCCAACCAAAAAGATAACTACACTTCTATGTGGATTGTAGTATCAGAATCATTCTTGGGCTGGGAAATTTTAGGTTTCATGTTAGACGATCCGTGCTGTCCCTTCTCAAAGTTAAGGTTATAGACTCAGGTCCTGGATAGGCTGATTTGTCTGCTTTGTTCCCCTAAGTCAACCACACTGCCAATGTGGGTCAACCATCCTGAGAGTGACAAATGCCACTGGACACAGCAGGATGAGTAAGTGTATGAACATACAAATGTAAAACTAATTCTCTTATTAAAAACAAACTAATTCTATAATTAAAAACAAACAGCTACTGCTACTTGTGAGTTACAACCTCAATTTTAGTATACCAAGTGTAAGTGAATACTGACCACTTAATGTATAGAATGGTAGGAGGTATCATCTTTAAAGAAGCCAAAATGTGAAATACATAATGGGTTCACTGACAGTGCCTGAACTTATAGGCAAACACATCCACAAAGAGAGACCGCAGGACAAAGCCTGTGATTCAGGGCTTCTCTGAGCACTCCCTCTGGTCAGATTTTTTTTCACTCCCAAGAGTATAAACCATTCTCTCTCTCTTTTTTAAAGATGTGTTTATTTATTTGAAAGGCAGAGGGGCAGAGAGAGGGATAGACAGAGAGAGAGAGAGGTCTTCCATTCACTGTTTATTCCTCAAATGGCCCCAACAGCCAGGTCTGGGCTAGGCCAAAGCCAGGAGCCTGAACTTCATCCTGGTCTCCCACATGGTTTCAGGGGCCCACGTATCTGGGCCATCTCCTGCTGCCTTCTCAGGCTCATTAAGTAGAAGCTGAACCGGAAGCAGAGCAGTGGGGACCCAAACCAGCACTCCAGTATGGGACACTGGCATTGCAAGCAGCAGCATAACCTGTGGTGCTACCATGTTAGCCCCTTCCTTGTCACTCTTGTTCATATATATATATATATATTATATATATAATATAGATACACATATGTATGGATGTATGTATCTTCTAAGATACAACTTTTTCTGAAGTTTAAAAATCCTCATTTCTGCTTTTAAGATAAGCAGTGGAAAATAACATCTAAGTTATACATTTTTCAATAGCAAGCTGAACTCACAAAATCAGAAAACTAGAATATATTTTTCATTATGAAGTGTTATGAAGTTCATGAAGTAAACCCTCATAAACAGGACTAAAAATGCTTTTAATTTTTTTTTTGGAACAGGCAGAGTGGACAGTGAGAGAGACAGACAGAGAGAAAGGTCTTTTTTTTCCATTGGTTCACCCTCCAATGGCCGCTGCGGCCGGCACACCGCGCTGATCTGAAGCCAGGAGCCAGGTGCTTTTCCCGGTTTCCCATGCGGGTGCAGGGCCCAAGGACTTGGGCCATTCTCCACTGCACTCCCGGGCCACAGCAGAGAGCTGGACTGGAAGAGGAGCAACCGGGACAGAATCCGGTACCCTGACCGGGACTAGAACCCGGGGTGCCAGTGCTGCAGGTGGAGGATTAGCCTATTGAGCCGCAGCGCCAGCCAAAATGCTTTGTTAAAATGAAACATCTAAGACTGACTTTAAGCGGTTGCTAGCAGAATAGGTCAGTACTCCGTGACAAAACATAGGTCAAAGCGTTTGTCTCTTTCATGTCTATGCAAATACTCTGAGTTGGCTAACTTATCACCCATTCCAACGTCCCTTTCCTTGTCTTTCTTTACCAGAGACCATAAGCCCTGTCAAAACAACACTGAGTTTCTCCAAAGTAGGGAATCATCTAGCTAAAAACTATGCAGGAAATTATGACCAGAAGTCAAAATGAATCCAGAAAAAAAAAGAAAAAACAGGTTGCCCAGGAGAGAGAGGTTTTTTCAGGAGGCTAACAGACTCAGCCTCCTTAAAGACTGCTTGAGAAAAGGATGCAGTGTGTATGTGTGTTTGCCTTTGTTAATCAGTCGGAAAAGCACTGTCGTCTAACAACCTGAGTTTAACACTTGTGGTCTAAGCTGTACTGGTCACAAATGGGAGGACCTGTGAAAAATACAAGAGCTGGTGCTTGTATTTATCTTGTACAGGGGCCAGCACTGTGGTGTAGCAGATAAAGCCACAGCTTGTGATGCCGGCATCCCATATGGGTGCCGGTTCAAGACCCGGCTGATCCACTTCCGATTCAGCTCCTTGTTAGTGCAGTTGGGAAAGTGCTTGAGGCCCTGCACTCATGTGGCAGATTCAAAATAAGCTCCTGACTCCTGGCTTTCGCCTGACCCAGCCCCAGCCATTGTAGCCATTTGGGGAGTGAATCAGTGGATGTAAAATCTGTTTAAAAAAAAAAAGAAAGAAAAAGAAAGATGACAGGACAATAAATGGGAGCCTCGGGGAGAGGTATTTCATTTCACAAGGAGCCTGAAGGTCCTGAAATATATTCTATGTGGCTTTTGAATTCTGAATTCCCAAAATGACCACACATCAATGGCACTGACCATTCTGCTTTGAAAGGCTGCATGGCAGGAGCAGGTATTTAGTTTAGCAGTTAAGATGCCAGATCTCACATCTGAGTTTGATTCCTGATTCTGGCTCCCGATTCCAGTTTCCTAACACAGACCCTGGTAGGCAGCAGTGAAGGCTCAAGTAATGGAGCTCCTGCCATTATGTGGAGACCTGAACTGCAATTCTGGCTCCTGACTCTAGTCTCCTGCTAACTCATACCCTGAGAGACAGTGGTGATGAAGCAAGTGAATGGGTTCCTGCCATCCATGTTCTGAGGCCTGTCACTGTGGGTATGTGGAGAGAGAACCAATGGATGGGAGCTTTCTTCACCTGTTTCTCAAATAAATTTAATTTTAAAAACTACACTACAAGCCTACTCTTAGCTTTGTGTCCATTCAGAGTAAAGAGAGAGAAGTATTTCCGGGCTGCTTCATTCTGATACTTCGGCTATGTGATCTGGTTTCCCCCATCCTAACAACAAAGAGAGAAAGGCTTTATTGCAGCTAAAAATGTTAACCATACCAAACAAATAGTTATAAATTCCTAGAAGAAAAATCTCTTCAGAGTGTTTCTTTGGCAGAAGCAGCATGCATGGTCCAGGTTCCGTTCCGTGCTGGGAGAGTGAGAAGGGGTGCGCCACTGGTCATAATTACCTCAATGAAGTATTCTGAGCAAATAATACATTGGAGTTCATTTTCTAGCACGTCATTCATCTGACTAAGAACTTCCTCCTTCTGTGCTTGTACCTTCTCCTTCTCTTCCTGTGAAAACACACACAACCCTGTCTGTCATCTGGGAGAACCAAAAGGAGCACAAAACAGGACGGGGAACTGGGTTAATTGTCTGGAATAAGCTTCAGAAGGAATCTAAATTAAAAATTCATTCTGGCACAGCAACTCAAGAATAAAACACTCTCCCTAAGGGTTGCTATTTCTCAAGAATTGCTTTCTAATATAAAGCATGAACTCCCTCTCTCTCCTCTCCCACTTGCTATGGTCTGAATGTTCGTGTCACATCCTGCCCCTCACCCTTCATCTGTTGAAATCGAATTCCCATGTGATGGCACTAGGAGATGGGACCTGTGGGAAGTGACTAGATCATGAGAGTTCTGCCTTCATGAACAGGATCAGAACCCTACTCAAAAGGTCCGAGTGACCCTCTCTGCCCCATCCACCATGAGAGGACACAGCAAGGCCAGGCCCTCCCTGGACACTGAATCTGCCAGCATCTTGATCTTGGATTTCTCAACCTGAAGAACTGTGAAAAACAAATGCCTGATGTTTATAAGCTACCAGTTTATGGCATTTTATTACAGCAGCTGGAATGAACTCAAACACCACTTTGGAGCCTTTCCCCAAAATTAACCAAACGAGAAAAAATGAAGGCAGCACCCCATCCCACCACAGTAAGAATGAGGCAGTAAACATTCTGTATGGCAAGTAGTGGTGATATAAAATTACCCCCAAACAACAAAAAACTCAGACGTGCAGTGCTAAAGGTCCAGAGAGAACTAAAGAACTCAAGTCGAGAGAGGCAGGAGGCTTGAATTAGTTATCAGGGCCCTTGTGTTCTCTGCAGCTGACTCTGCTTAACGTAAGGTGCCTGCCCACGTTCCCCAGAGGCAGGAGGCTGTAGAGACAGCCTCTGAAGTCCCTGCCAGTTCCAGCCTTGGATGCTTGCCACATGCTTCTCCCACAGAGGTTAGCTGTGCTCGCATTCCTTGTGGACATACTTTTTAGGACACCTCCTAGGTATACTCTCTTGAAGTATTTAATACTTCATTCCCCAGACAGAAAGGATCAAGAGCCCCTGAGGCGAGGACAAGCCATTTGGGGTATATAAAAGTGCTTCAGAAAGTTCACGGAAAAGTAGAGTTAAACAAGTTTAGAGCAAGCGCTGTGGTACAGTGGGTTAAGCCGCTGCTTGTGACACCAGGATCCCACTTCAGAGTACTGGTTCAAGTCCCAGCTACTCTGTTTCTGATCCAGCTTCCTGCTAATGTGCCTAGGAAGGCAGTGGAAGACAGCCCAGGTGCTTGGTTCCATGCCAGTCATGTGGGAGACCCGAAAGGGGTTACTGGCTCCTGTCTTTGGCCTGGCTTACATTTGCTGGCGTGCCCATTTGGGGAGTAAATCACTGAATGAAGATATCTCTCTCTCTGCCTTGTAAATAAATCTTAAAACAACAACAATAAAAAAGATAAATCTTATTTTGGTGCCAAAAAACTGAGATCTATGTGGTTCCATGCATTTTGAAAAATCCTCCTAAATATAATTTCAAAAATATTATGCACCAAAATGAACTTGTCTTTTAAAAAATTCCACATTCCATGGACTTTTTGGAGCACTCTCGTATGTCAGTGGTGGGTTCATCTTTGACTTTCCTTTCTCATCAAGGCAAAGAATGTCAGACTGCTGAGGGCAGAGAACAGGGTTGGGACCCACTTCTACTTAAAATTAATCTTCCTGAAAACTCACCCATCAATGAGTTTTAAAAGTTGCAGTGGTCTCTGAAGCTGGGGAAGAAGATACCACATGAATTAACCAGAGGACAGGCCATCAGACAAACTGAAGGAGGAAGTCTCCTGCTCCTCTATGTACTCAGCTCTAGGTCTGTATGTGGAGTGGGGTGGGACGAGAGATGCAGTCGGACTCATGTAATTTCAGGTCAGCGGTAGCCTCCAGACTGGGCTTCATGGTATTAATAGACACAGGCCAAAAAAATCTGAATTTGTTGCTAACATTTGAAAACTGAGGTTTTCAAATAAACATTTTGGTTTCTTCCTGCCAGGGGAAAACCGAAGGACCTGACAACACTGAGTCTGCACTTCTGGATACAACAGCTGGCTGAACAGAGAGGTGCTGCCTCCTGGGGTTGGGGGGGGATGAGCACCCCCCCCCCCCGCCCACCACAGTCCCCACTGCCTGTCTCTGTGCTCCCATAATGAGACGGCTTCACTGTTGTTAGCGACCACGGCCTGGTGGGCATTTAAGCTCGAGAATTCAATGATCTGACAGGAGAAGAAATCAACATCAGTGCATCCAGATGAACTGTTCAGTACTCTGAGTCCACCACCCTTCAGGAAGCATCAGTGTCGCACCCTGAAAGAGCACCCACCATGCAGAAAGGATTACAGTGCAGGATGCTAGTCCTCGGCCCAGCAGTTTGCTTCAGAACAAGGGAAAGAACCAAACGTTGTCTAAAGGCAGAATCACCCACAGGCTTGGATATTCTACAGATTACTTCCCCTGAGGCAAGGAGCACCCATAATCTTTCTTCATTCTCCACAGCAACCCCTGCTCTGCTGGAAATGCTGAGTTGCATGTACTAACCAAATTCTAAACCTCCATCTTCCTTCCAGTACCTTGGTCTGCTCCAGCTCTCTGTTCTTAGCTTGAATGATTGCTTCGAAGTCCTTCTTGCTGCGGTTTAGCTCCTCCATCAGGGCCCGATGCTGCAGAAACACGGCAGAGTGACACCCAGCATGAGCTACAGTGTACCCCACCCTCCAGCCACATACCCGCTCTCTCTCTCTAGTCTGTTTCTTTAGTTCAAGGATCAATGAACTGGCAATTAAACAATATCACCTTCTATCTTCTGTTTTGTTTTTTTTTCCCCCCAGGAAAGGGGGCAGACAGGAAGGGAGGCTGTCAAATCCATTATCCCTCAGGAACTTAGCCAACCTCAGTGACCAAACAAGATCAGCTGAAGAACTTTCACTGTCTTTGAGAATCTGATTCAGGAGGTTTGGACTGAGCTCCAGAAACAAGTATTTTTTTTTTCCTTAAGATTTTATTTATTTGAGAGGCAGAGAGAGAGAGAGAGAGAGAGAGAGAGAGAGAGAGAGTGTCTTCCTGGGGCCAGCGCTGCCGCACAGCAGGTTAAAGCCCCGGCCTGCAGCGCTGGCATCCCATATGGGCATTGGTTTGGGTCCCAGCTGCTCCACTTCCGATCCAGCTCTCTGCTATGGCCTGGGAAAGCAGTAGAAGATGGCCTCTGGGCCCCTGAAGACCTGGAGGAAGCTCCTAGCTCCAGAGCAGCACAGTTCTGACCGTTGTGGCCAACTGGGGAGTGAACCAGCAGATGGAAGACCTCTCTCTTTCTCTGTGTCCCTATCTTTCTGTCTTTCAAATGAATAAAGATATATATATTTAAAAAAAGAGAGAGAAAGAGAGAGAGAGAGTCTTCCATCCACTGATTCACTCCTTAGATGGCCACAATGGCCAGAGCTGTGCTGATCTGAAGCCAGGAGCCAGTAGCCAGGAGCTAAGGAGGGAGCTTCCTCAAGGGGCCCAAGGACATGCGCCATCTTCTACTGCTTTCCCAGGCCACAGCTGAGAGCTAGACTGGAAGTGGAGCAGCTGAGACTCGAACCAGTGCCCATAGGATGCTAGCATTGCAGGTAGCTACTTTACCCACTATACCACAGCGCTGGACCCAAACATGTATTCTTTTAAAAAGCTACCCACATGATTCTGGAAATGGTACTTAAGAACTGGTAAGCATCCATAAGGCGACCCTGTACTCAAAGTGGCTTTTAAGAAACAATCATGGGGCCGGCACCATGGCGCAGCAGGTTAACACCCTGGCCTGAAGCGCCAGCATCCCATATGGGTGCGAGTTTGAGTCCGGCTGTTCCACTTCCCATCTAGCTCTCTGCTATGGCCTGGGAAAGCAGTAGAAGATGGCCCAAGTGCTTGGGCCCCTGCACCCATGTGGGAGACCCAGAAGAAGCTCCAGGCTCCTGGCTTTTGATCAGCGTAGTTCCAGCTGTTGTGGCCAATTGGGGAGTGAACCAGCGGATGGAAGACCTCTCTCTCTCTCTCTCTCTGCCTCTCTATAACTCAGCCTTTCAAATAAATAGATAAATCTTCAAAAAAAAAAAAATCGTGGGGAAATGGGATTTGGGAAACCTAGACAGCCACTTTCACTGAAGTAAAAAAAGCCATTTAGCCTATTTATTCACACGCCTATGAGGCAACGCTGCCTGCACTCTGCCAGTATCTGCTGGACGATGGCGTGCCCAAGAGCTAACAGCTCATCCACTGGGACCAAAGGCCTACCTCAAATGTCAAGAAAGTCCATGTCTGTGAAGCACACTTTATGAGTTTATGCTCTCACCTCACTTAAAATTCATTTTAAAGGCAGGTGGTATAAAAGTATGTTTGTTATTATCAGGAAACAAATGGTAAAATGTGTGATGTCCTAAAGAAAGCAGTCATGTCAGAAGGGCTGGGTCTTCATCTTGACCACTAATTAGATGTTTGTGGCTTAACTTTCTCAATATAACATCAGAAAACAGATGCCCCCCTCTCCACCTTGATGTTGATAAGAAAATAAGAGGTATGAGAAGCATTCAGAAACGTTTTTACAGCTCTATGACGATCTGTTTTTATAAGAGCCTGGTAAAGATAACAACTTCAAAGGACCAGCAAGATGGAACAAAGACAACCCACTGCTTCAGTTGAGAATGGCAGCCCCCAGGCAGGATGGTATAGAACCATGACCAGGAAGTCCGACCTTTCAGCTGAATGACTCCTAGGCCAAGCACCCCCTGCTCCATAGCAGTGTGCTCCTGTCTGTCTCAGGACAGGGCGAGGCACACTGAGGTGCAGGTGTTCAGGGACCCCTCAGGGATCCCCACCAAGCTGAATGGTTCTTTTCCAGCCAGTTTTTAAACATTAGGCTTGAAACAGTATCTGAACATTAATTTAGTAACGCCTAAAGGGAAACATACTTACTCCTCACTCTACAAAGTAAACAAACTCAGAAAATAAAATTCTCAGAAGATTGAATTAATGTCCACCTAATTCTTTCCAAATTTACTTGTGCAGCCGTCAAGGGAATCAAGGTGGGTACCCTGTCATGCACATGAAACTGTGACTGTGAGCACTGTGCAGCGGGAGACAGGCGACAGGCATGCAATAGAAGCACATAAGGAGATGTTCCCCTGAACACATTCTAATGCAATCTGCTCGGTGTGCTAAGGGAAATCCGAACCACCCCATTTACCTCCTGACTAAACTTGCAACAAACTACTAATTGTAATACAGGAAGGACAGAAGATAAAGCAGGCTTTAAAGATGCAAGAGAACACATAAAAAGCAATCAAATGAGAGAAGTAGTCAAGTTAAATGAAACAAATTACAGGCAATCTTTTAGGAGCATTTTATTCCTGGGAGCTTTACTCCTGCGTTAAATCAATGTTTTGCTGACTATTAAATAGCACACTGTCAACCTGACCTAAAATGTTTAATGGCAACATTGCTGAATGGTTTCTGGATGTCTAAAGCTCAGGGACAGTGGGGTAATGGAGGCCCTCCCCAGCCCTAGCGGCCAAGTCATAGCTTGCATTCCCCCACCTTTCTAGAGAAGTAGAGCCACTTCCCCAGAGAGCCTCCTTCCTAATTGCTACAGGCTCTGTTCCATCTTCGCCAGAGCAACTTCTGCTCAGATGAAGATGTAAGTTTTCACGCTGAGAGCTGGCATGTCTGTGAAGCTCCAAATCTCTGGCCTGATGTCGTGAGCAGCTGCCACCTGCTCTGTTTGCAGACTGGAGATACCACAGAGGTGTGGGCTGAGCAGCAGTGGCCATGTGATACCTGGCTGCTCCCCACTCGCAGCTCACTACAATCTCAGCACAGTGGCAAGAATTAAGTTACCTCCTGCAGAGCCTGGACCAGCTGTTGCTTCAGGTCCTCTTCTCCTTGCTCTTTCTCCAAATCCTGCAAAGCCAAAACAAAATGGAAGGTTGCTCTGAAGGGAGGGGGAAAGGGGAACAAAATCCACGACAAGCAAAGCAAACTAGCTGCTGTGAGCATCTGGAAACGACAGGGGGCAGGGAGCAGGTGGCAATCTCCCATTTTACTTCAAGCTGCTGGCAGTAAAGGATTTGAGCAGAGTTATCTGCCCAAATACTGCACCCCTCAGCTCAGGACTGTCAGCTTCAAGCCACCATTTGGGTGGTTCTGGAAAAACGATGAGCTAACAGTCTAGGTAGGCCTCCATCACTGGCTGATGCATGCTGTGACTCCCAAAAGGATGTACGCACACTGAGAACTGAGTCACCAAATATTTACACTCAGGTAATAATCCCCATGCCAGCATGCATGAAATCCACACTCATGCTGTCAATTCTGGCCACCCCATCACCACTTTCTCCTCAGTCCCTATCACTTTCAGCCTATAAACTGTCCTTTCTTTCCTCCACTGGCCCCTTCTGATGTGGGCACCATCCGTTTAGCATAAACCTATGGCCAGCACCTTCCACAGGAACCTCTGGGCCCTTCTTTCCTTTAGAATTACCTACCCACTTAATATGCCAAATTGAAACTGTTGTCTAATTCAACATATTGACTGAAATTGTTCTCCAATTATGTGACGCATATGACGTATCTTGTCTCCTCAGTAAGATAATTACTTAACAGCAAAAACCACTTAGCATTTTTACGTCCACTAGAACTCCCTAGTGCCAAACCACATGGATGCTCAAAATAAAGGTCTGTGTGAGGCAGTAAGGGTTAAATGAGTTTTTGAACATATAATAGGGGTAGACAGATCCCCCAGGGCTTGGTGGGCAGAGGGAAATGCAGCTGATACAGGAGACTAGATGTACTTCACTACCAGTGATTTATACATGACCTTATACCTAGAAAATTCTCTAAACCAATCTTTTTTGTCTTTTTTTAGCATTTTGGTACAGAGAGAAATTTTGCAGTTGTGCCTTGAAACATGCCTAGAGCAGTCACAATTATTAACTAATAGTGACTTTTATGATTTAAAGAGAATTCTGCTCTGGTGGAGGTGCGAAACACTAAATATGCAAAGATAAACCACCCTGTATTAATCTCAACAACTAGTTTAGGTTGGATAAGGGAAGCAAAAAGATGTACACATGCAATCACTGCATACCCTTAAAAGATCCATTTAATCCATGGCCTTTGCTAATACTAGCAGTTCAAGGGGCCAGCAGACATTAGAACAAAATCTGTCAATTGCTCAGAAATAAGCCAACACTATTCCTGGTCATTCCTTCCCCTGAGCAACTCACACAGAAAATAAAGGCTTATTTGCTTCAGTTGTGATAGGTCCTTCTTAGTCCTAAGTCAACAAGGGGGAATTCTTGACATTCAGTATTACCTGAACAACTGGTGGGAATAAAATGTGTTGTTCCTGCCAGATGGGAACTGACATTTTGAATAGGGACGGGATCAGCTCTACCCTGAAGCTCTGTGTTAGAGCTTGTCATCTAAGCAAACGACTCAGGGATGGGGACACATTCGGTCTTTCCTTGACAACAGCTAAGATAGTCATTATTCTGCTTTCCTACTAAAGGCATGATGGAAGGTGGCTTATCACTCAAACCAAAAACAGAGTCTTGGTGTGTCCAACCTCTCTCACACTGGCTGCTTCAGATATAAACAAAAACACTTTCTGCCCTTGTAGCCTCTCAACTCCTAGGTTAGTTGCACAACTAATGCTCACAGCTAACAAACTGTAAGGCACAACAAGGGCAGAGTGACCAGCTGACCTGCATGAGCCTTGAGGTTAGGTGACTTGGCCATACAGAAAAGATAAGTCAAGTGGAGAACTAAACTACTGGATTGATTGGAGGACACAGGTTTTGTGCATCCTGATCTTCATTCACTTATCCCTGAATTTACCTTGGTTCTGAGATGCCTCGGCTTTGCATCCTGAGGTCAATTATGTCCTGGATGGCTTTGCAGGTCACTTTACCTTTCCTGTCTTGATACCCCAACTCCTGCTCCTGATGACAATCAGGCATGCTTACACTTTAATCTTCCACTCAACCTCTTAACAGTATCCTGTTCTCATTCCATATCCTGTTCTTGGTCCTCAGCATTTGGTCCTTGACCCAAACACAGAGGGCTCTGGCCAGAAGCTCACAAACCGCCACCCACCCTCAGGGGCCTTTCCCGCCTGTCTGGTACCTGGAGATGCTGTTCCTCTTCTTGGAATGTCTTCTCTAGTTCTTCCATTCTTGCCTGCTGCTGGGCCTGCTCTGCACACAGCTGGGACTGTAGAGCCTGCAGTTCCTCCTCCATTTTTACAATTGTCTTTGAGTTCCCCTTTTGCGTCTGCCTCTTCACATTCAGAACAGCTATCTGTTTTTCCTGCAACTCTGTTTTCAGCTTCAGAATCCTGGACATGGTCATCTTAAACAGCTCTAGGCTGCTCTGAGATGTTGAAGGGTTTGAGCCTTTCTGCTTGTTATGGTGAGGGGCTATGATTTTGGGAGGGGTGGAGTAAACATCAGCCCCTGAGACTTTCTCCTGTGCCTCAGGAGAGGTCAACTTAGGATCCAAATATTTGGAGGGTAGACTGGCCACTTTACCGTTCTCATGTGACTGCACAGGCTGGCCAGGTTCACAAGACATCTCATTCATTTTCGATTTCAAATTTGAGGGGCCTTCAGCTCCAGAACCCTCTAATTCATCCAAACTAAACTTGCGTTTAGTTCTCAAGCTCTTATTTTTTTCCATCATCTGCTTACACTTCAGGGCAAGACGAGGTACCACCTGCTCCCAGTCTTCTTCAGAAACTTCATATTCATACTCTGCATTCTCTTTATTATCCAGAGGTACCCCAAGCTGGATGTGGTCTCCCTGACGGATGGCATAAAACTTCAAAGGCTCCAGACGCACTCTGTTCAGCCAAACACCATTCAGACTCTGGGGAGAGGGAAAGAAGACAAAATAAGCTTTATGATTTTCTTCCTTTTAGTGGGATTTCTCTCCTGTTGCTGCAAAACCTTCTGCCTCTTCAGAAGGAAAACCCTTGAGAACAAATAGAAAAGAAAGGTTCATAAACTACCGTCCTTAGAAACAGAATTCTTCAAAGAGTGTGTTGGCTTTTTACCTGTATTTCCCATTCATGCCTCCACAGAGGACTGCCTGTACAACAGCAGGAATCACCTTAGTACTGGTACATGAATCACTCAAACAAATGCAACAGCACCAAAGGAAACAAAGTGAATAGCTCCTACTGACTTGCACTGGAGACAACTGCCCAAGACTGCAAAAAACACTGCTAGTGAAGGAAGCAGCCTCTAGGGGTGAGGTCCAGGAAAGTCATTCAAGTACTATTTCTGGATGTGGCCGTCTCTCAATACGTTGGTGAAAGAGCAAAGCACTTCCCGGAACACACAAACCCAAAAAAGGGAGCACTAACACCCTGTACTGAGGGTCAAACTGCAGGTGGGACCTGACCCAACTAACACCAGGGGAGGTCCGTGTGCATTCCAGTACAGCGGTTAAGACCTGGGGCTCTAGATCCAGTTAGACTCGAGTTCATGGCCCAGCTGCACCACTTTGGGTTTATTAGTTGCATGATCTTCAGCAAAGATCCCTGTCTATAAAACAAGGATAATGTAGAGGCTACCTCATGCTGTGCCTATGAGGAAAAATTAAGATAATACATAAAATACTTAGCACAGTGACTGGTATATAATAAATGCTTGATAAATGCTTACTTTTCTGGTTTTAAAGAAGTCATAGTGAGGCCGGTGTAGCGGGTTAAGCTGCCACCTGAAGTGCTGGCAGCCCATACGGGTGCCAATTCAAGTCCTGGCTGTTTCACTTCCAGTCTGTGCCTGGGAAAGCAGAAGATGGCTCAAGTGCTTGGGCCCCTAAACCCATGTGGGAGATCCGGAAGAAGCTCCTGGTTCCTGGCTTCAGATCTGCACAGCTCTCTGGGCGTTGAGGCCATCTGGGGAGTGAACCAGTAGATAGGAGACCTCTCTGTCTCTTCCTGTAACTCTGCCTTTCAAATAAATAAATAAATCTTAAAAAAAAAAAAAAAAAAGAAGAAGAAGAAGAAGTCATAGTGTAGGGGTGAAGAATATGGACCCTGGAGTCAGACTGTCTGGGTTTGTAATCTGGCTCTGTCATTTAACAGCTGTGTGACTTTTAAAAAAATTTAATTAATTATTTTTATTGATTTAAAAAGCAGAGACACAGATACAGAGAGATCTTTCATCAGCTGGTTTATCCCCAAATGCCAGCAACAGCTAGAGCTGGGCCAGGCCACAGCCAGGAGCCTCAAACTCAATCGAGGTCTTCCACATGGGTAGCAGGACCCAATAAATGAGCCATCACCTGTGGTATCCCAAGGTTTTCCTTAGCAGGAAGCTGGACTCAGAAGTGGAGATGGGACTCAAACTCAGACACTCTGATATGGGATACAGGTATCCTAAGGAGCATCTTAATCCACTGTGCCAAACGTCCACCCCCCAGGCAGATTTCTTGATCTCTCCATGGATCAGTTTATGCATCTATAAAACAGTGGATAACAGCAGTCTTTCCCTCATGGTGCTTGTGTGAATTTAACATAAGGAATGCTCTTACAAAAGTGCATGGCATGTAGTATTATATAAATGTTCACTACAATTATTATATCCTGGTTCTACTGAATGATCACCAGTCACTTCAACTCCATTCTTAGTACTTACAAGGTAAATAGATCAAGTGCAAAAATAGAAGAAATGAAGACAACTTTTAGCAGCTGACTGTAGAGAGGACATCACAAGGGCACAGATAAGTAAATGTGGAATTACATGGCACAGCCTATAAATGCAAAGGAGCAGCATGTGGAGCTAGCTTAGCTACGGGATGCTAAGTGAAGATGACAGGTCTGAAAACAGACTTGAAACAAACACAGACTTCAGAGCTAAAGATACTGGTAAGCATTTTAATGCAAATCAAAGACTTACCTTTGGGGGACAGGCCAGAAATGCAGCTCATTCTGAATCAGCACTAACACTCAGGTTTACACTGACAATTACAGCTACCTACTTTCAGCCAGAAAAAAAAAATCTTTTTCCCTGGTCAATGCGGTATGAGGAGCAGAGGGCTGGACCACAAGGCACAGAGGACAAACGGGGAGTGAAGCTTAGTTATTGGCTCTGGTTTGGTATTAAGCTTTTGCTTCTGTTTTATAGTATTTGATTTGAGCTGGAAGTGGGCGAGAAAGACTGGCACAGATACATACCGACTGGTCTCAACCCACCACCTTGGACCTAATCTGGATCCTCTGTCAAACTTCTCGCATGCACCCTTTCTATTCAGCCTCAGAAACTAAAGTCACTTCTGCTGACTTCTGAACCAACACAGGGGCAACAATACAGGGGGACAGAGCAATCTACTTGAGAACAGTTTCGGAGAACAGTCACATGCACAGGACACGGTTCTCAGGAAAAGTAACTTGATGAGAGAGCACCTACTGCCAACATTTAAGAAAAATCTCAAAGGCAAATATAAAGTAAGTAAGGTTATGGAAGAATCCCTGAACTATGGAAAACAAGCAATCCTAAGAAACTGGGGCAGCAAGCCTTTAATACCACAGGCCATTAGACCCCTGGCATTAACCCATCTCCTGCAAAGTCCTTTTGGTGTGGAAAATAAGCTGTTAGAATTCTCCTATCACAGTTTACCCTTGGATCCCTTTATGTTTACCCACTCATCACTTCTTGGTGACACCCAGTGGTATAACTTGGACCGCAGCCCTCCTGAGTCAGGTGTGTTCACAAGGTGACTGCAGAAAAAAGATGAAAATTCTATGGCTGCCTAAGAACACTATGGCACAGCCCAGGAGATATGATCTTAAATACAACTGTTTAAACAAATCACAGTCTGTCAAGGCTTTCTTGATGGTGGTGTTTTCAGTCACCAGCTTCAACAATGTCAGCAGCAGCAAAATGATACCCAAAGGAAAACCTGCCCAATGTCTCCTAGCCATCAAGGGGGAAAAGGCGGAAAGTTACTTCACTTGATGCTCAATCTCTCTTTAAACAGATGTTGAGAGTGGAAGTCCAAAGCCGAAGGTAATATTTTCTTGGTGTTTTCTAGATGATTTATGTAGCTCAGTGGTTCTCAATTCTGATTGTACAGAAAAATCACATAGCTAAACAGAAAAATCACCTGGGAAGAGTTAAAGCAAATAGTGCTGAGGTCTCATCCTAGACTAAGTTAACTGGTCTGAAATTGGGATGAGGTATCCATATATTTTTTTTTAAGCCTTTTTACGGGTTTAAAAAAAATGTTTACTGGACTGGCATTGTACGTAGTGGGTTAAGCCACCTAGGATGCCAGCATCCCATATCAGAGCAGTGGTTCGAGTCTTGGCTGCTCTGTTTCCAATCCAGCTCCCTGCTCCTGTGCCTGAGAAAGTAACGGAAGATGACTCAAGTACTTGGGAGACCTGGCCCAGCCCCGGTCACTGTGGCCATTTGGTGAGTTAGTCAGCAGATAGAACTCTGTCTCTCCCTCATAGTCATTCTGCCTTTCAAACAAATAAATCTGTTTAGAAATATTTCTTATTTTCATATTTGAAAGGCAAAGTGAGAGAGGGAAGGAGATAGAGATTGGGTGGGAGGAGGGGAAAAGGGAAGCTTTCAAGCTTTCATGCACTGGCTTACTCCCCAGAAGCCTGCAACAGCCAGGACTGGGCCAGGCTGAAGCCAGAAGCCAGGAACTCCATCCAGGTAGCCCACATGAGTGGAAGGGGCTCAAGCACCTAAGCTATCACCTTGGGAAGCTGGATGGGAAGGGGAGGGACCAGGATTCAAACCAGCACTCCAGTGGCATGTGGGATCAGAGCCTACGTCTTAATCCACTGGGCCATACCACCTACCCCAAGTACCAGCATTTTAAAAGTCACCTTTATCTATAAACACATACAATTATGAATGTATCATAGATGGAATCATATACCATGAATATTCATTTGAGTCTGGCCTCTTTTATGTAGCATAATTCATCTATGTTGCTGCTTGTTATTTTTCATTGCTGGATAGTACTGACAGTATGGGTGGACCAGCTTATCCATTCTATAGTAGTGTTTTTCAGTTTGGGAGATTATGAATAAAATCACTATAAACACTCATGTACAAGTTTCTGTCAGAGCATAAACTTTCATTAACCTAGGACAAGTACACAGATTGGATCACTAAGTAAATGTGTGCTTAAGTCCAAGAAACCACCAAACTATTTTTCAGAGGGCTACTTTGTTTTCTCACTTTCGATGTTTAGAGTTCCAGTAAAAGGGCCAGTACTGTGGACCAGCAGGTTAAGCTGTCACTTGCAAAGATAGCATCCCATATTGGGGCACTGGTTTGGTCCTGGCTTCTGATCCAGCTCCTTGCTAACGTATCTGGGAGGGCAGCAGAGGATAGTCCAAGTGCTTGGGCCTCTTCCACCCATGTGGGAAACTTGAAGAGTTCCAGGCTCCTAGCTTCAGCCTGGCCCAGCCAGCTATTGCAGACATTTAGGGGCTGGACCAGTGAATGGAAGATCTCTTTCTCTCTCTTTCTCTCCCTCTCTCTGCCACTCTGCCTTTCAAATAAATAAAATAAATCTTAAAAAAAAAAAAAAAAAAGGTCCAGTTATTTACTGGATGCTCTGTTTGCGATCCAGCTCTCTGCTTCTGTGCTGGGAAAACAGCAGAAGATAGCTCAAGGACTTGGGTCTCTGACATCCATGTCAGAAACCCAGGTGGAATTCCTGGTTCCTGGCTTTGAACTGAACCAACTCTGGCTGTTGTGGGCATTCTGGGAGTGAATCAGCAGATGAAGATCTATCTCTGTGTCTCTTCATCTCTCTGTCATTCTACCTTTGTAATAAATAAATAAATAAACAAACAAACCTTTAGGGGAAGTGTTCCAATTTTGGGGCAG